CAGGTCTTATACACTAAAAACAAGAGACTAACAGTTAGCAGTTTCTCATTTAAAAAAACAGATACAAAACCAATGGTATGGAATAAAGCATTTATGATAAGTTGTGGTGTATTTGAATGCAGTGAATAGATCTTTCAGAGATATCATAAAAGTTCAACAGCCTACATTAGGATTCATACCTTTTGGTGGCAAAGTTACTTTATTTGGTGGTAATATATGCAAAGTGCTTCCAGTAGTGCACAAAGGAACTATGGTGGATGGTGTTGATCAGTGTATAAACCAATCTTCCACTTGGAACTTTGTGAAAATATTCAAGTTAGTTGTGAATACACATGTTGAGCAAGCCATATCACCAGAAAACAGTATACTTGCAAACACCTTGCAGCAGTTTTCAAAACACCTCCTTGATGTTGGCAATAAAAGTGTTCAGACAGTAGGAGACTCAGAGCTGATAAGAGTACCTGATGATATGTTGTTAACACACCATGACATGAATCATTTAGCAGATACAATCCATGGTAGCATACTATATCCTGAAAATGACACATTGCCATCATATACAAGAGACCAAGCAGCTACAAAAGCTATAATCACACCAAAACACTCTGATGTTATACAAAGAAGTAGTATTGTTATTCTTAATCCATGTCATGTATCCACCAAATACATTCAAATATTGGATGGTACAGATTATTGAATTAAATATTTGATAATAAAGAGTTTGTTAATAAAACATAATTAGTATATCTGAATTTTCTTGATGTATCTTGACTACTTTTGTTATATCTCTAGGTTACTTGAATGATCTGATACTATCAAGATATATGAAAAATTGACTATTTAATCTTATAAACAGTGTATGAGTTATTTAAAGTACAAATACTTCTATATTTATTGTTGTGGGTTACCAATAACAATAGTACCTCAGATCAATGATTGAATTATGGACAGATTTTCTTTTAGAGAAGGCTTTAGTTTTTACAGTAGTGATAAAGCACTTACAGATGAATCAGATGCCATGGATCTTCTAACAGAGTATCTCAACAGCATAAACCCTGTTAGATAATCACTTGCCATAGATAGAGATATCCATCATCCCCATCAATAGAAACACAGACTACCTAAAAGGGACCACACAATAGAAGAAGAATTATTAGCAAGGTGTGTATCTAAGAAATGATACTTTATTAAGGGAGAGATTTTTATTAAAATTAGTAGACAGTAGCAATCAGAGAATTATAAAACAAGTGCAAAAGACCTATCAATAAAGATCAGACTTTGTTTACTCTTTGAACTGTCTGGACTTCCTTTGGTTGAAGCCAAAGACAACAACCCAGGCGGACTCTCTCATCACCACCTGAGACCAGAAATAGGGTCCTGCACACTACTGCCTTGGAATATGGATCCCAAATTAAATGTTAACACAGTTCTAATACACAGTTCTGATACACAGTTCTAATACACAGCTCTGATAAACATTGGCTTGATGTACACACCCAAAGGGCTAGCAGTCATGGCCTGTTACAAAGGGCAAATTTTCCCCAAAGCAAAACATAGGTTGCAAAATTCCTATTGTGGGCCAATATATGACTGCTAGTTATATAATTACTGAAAAATCACTTTTTAAGAAGGGTGAATCTGGCTAATTGATTGGTTGATCAATAATGTGCATTCACCCTCATTGAATTTATTATTTAATATTTGTTGGGAAGCATGGTGATAAATGGGAAAAAGAGTGTCATGTTCTGACTTCAATCCAAAGATTCTCTATGAATAAGTCAACATGAGTAGTGTGCTGTGACATTCAGAATACTCTATGAAAGCTTGAGTGCACACAATTAACATAGTACATCTCTGTATCATCTCACTGATTGGTTGTAACTACAAATCACCTTCTAAAGCTCAGTGTACTATTGGACACTTAACAAGAGCCATCTTTATTAATAATCCTAACAGAAAAATATTGACCTATCAGAGTCAATTGAGTAAAGACTCATAATAATTAATGGTTTCAATAATGGAGTGCTTATCCCAGGAACCAACCATAGGGTTGAATCTAATAATACTACAACTAAGTAAAACATATGAGCCAACCATAAGGTGGCAGTTATTAATACTACCATAAGGTAGTAATATAGACACTGACCATAAGGTCAAAGAGAGTGAATTCTACCATAAGGTAGAATGTCCCCACCAACCATTTAGTTGTAATTGTGAAGCAGCCATAAGGTTGACTATAATGACTACCATAAGGTAGAATAGATTATCCTACCATAAGGTAGAAGCCACTGAAGGATAAGCACCCACCAAAAGTATAAATAGTGAACCTTTCTTTACTCAATAAAAATTATCTTTGTTCAGTCTTGTTAATCTACCTGTCCAAACAATCTCAGGGCAATACTTATTCCTTGTAATAAAAACACATATTAAACACACAGTAGAGACTTGAAAATTGGATGAAGTATAAAGAAGGTCAACAGGATATTATATACAAGTTTATTGGGTAGAAACCCTTAATATTTTGTGTTTCCACCCTTGGCCTCTATCACAGCCCTATATCTCCAATGCATGCTGGAAATGAGGCTATTGGTAACCTCCTTGGGAATCTTGTCCCATTCCTGGACCAGGAGAGCCTTCAAATCTTGGAGGGTGCTTGCTGGGGTCATTCTCTTCCAAACTGCTTTGTCAAGTTCCTCCCAAAGATGCTCAATTGGGTTCAGGTCAGGGCTTTGAGAGGGCCATCCCTCCATAGCAACAATGCCCTCATTTGCCTTTCATTTTCTAGTCTCCTTACTAGTATAGCAACTGGCATTGTCCTCTTGAAGAACATAGCCTACCACTGGATTTAGTGCCAAAAGACAAGCCAGCTTGGGGCAATAGGCCATTTCTAAAATACTGGTGTATTTGGCACTATTGATGGATCCCTCAACCATAGCAAGTCTACCAACACCTTCACCAGAAAAGAAACCCCACACCATCACCCCTCCACCACCAAACTTCATCATTGGCTTGACATTCCTTGGGAGCAGTCCCTTCTTTTTCCTGTGTACCACCCTGTTGCAATGGTTGTTGCTCATTAGCTGGTACTTGGACTCATCAGACCAGATGACTGTCATCCAGTCTTCATCTGTCCAATGAAGGTAAGTCCTAGTCCAGGTAAGCCTCAACTTCTTATGTTTAATGCTGAGAGAGGGTTTCTTAACCACCCTGAAAGAAGATAGGCCAATCTTCTTCATGATTTTTCTAAAAGTGCTCATCCACACTTTGGCGGTCATCTGCTTGTAAAGTTGATCTATTGTCTGAAATGAATCCCTTTCCATCTTGTATACAAACTCTCTCTCATCCCTCTACTTCAGAACAGGATTGCACCCAGAGCTCTTCCCTGATTTGAAACAGCCAGTTTCCCTGTACTTCTTCACAATGAGGTTGACAGTGGGTTTACTGACACCAAACATGGCTGCAATCTCTACTTGGCTGGTGCCATTTTGGGTGGCCTCTTGAACTATGAGTTGACAAGTAAAGTTGTTGATATTTTTCTTTCTGTTTCCAAAAGGCTTGGTGGTTTGTTTAGTGGTGTTAGACATAATAGATGATATAGCAGAAAAAGAAGAAATGAGGAATAAGTAAAAAAAAAATTTTTTTTTGACCAGAATAGAGGTTGGAAAACAAAATAAATTATTATTTTTTTGCCGGACACTGTATATCCTACTTTAGACAATTCATAGTATAAAACATAATATAACATTCTTTTTTTACATACTTTTTTTTTAATTTATTATTAATGTTTTAATTTAGATATATTATTGAATACTTGAAAAAAAACATGTTTTTATTAATTATTTTACATATTCACACTTTCTTAAATACAATGTTAATTTTAAATTTATGATACTATTTAAATTTTTATTTCTTATAAGAGTATCATAATTAAGATTGTTTGGACAGGTAGATTAACAAGACTGAACAAAGATAATTTTTATTGAGTAAAGAAAGGTTCACTATTTATACTTTTGGTGGGTGCTTATCCTTCAGTGGCTTCTACCTTATGGTAGGATAATCTATTCTACCTTATGGTAGTCATTATAGTCAACCTTATGGCTGCTTCACAATTACAACTAAATGGTTGGTGGGGACATTCTACCTTATGGTAGAATTCACTCTCTTTGACCTTATGGTCAGTGTCTATATTACTACCTTATGGTAGTATTAATAACTGCCACCTTATGGTTGGCTCATATGTTTTACTTAGTTGTAGTATTATTAGATTCAACCCTATGGTTGGTTCCTGGGATAAGCACTCCATTATTGAAACCATTAATTATTATGAGTCTTTACTCAATTGACTCTGATAGGTCAATATTTTTCTGTTAGGATTATTAATAAAGATGGCTCTTGTTAAGTGTCCAATAGTACACTGAGCTTTAGAAGGTGATTTGTAGTTACAACCAATCAGTGAGATGATACAGAGATGTACTATGTTAATTGTGTGCACTCAAGCTTTCATAGAGTATTCTGAATGTCACAGCACACTACTCATGTTGACTTATTCATAGAGAATCTTTGGATTGAAGTCAGAACACAACATGCCCCAAAAAAGAATCCTATCAGAAAAAAAAATTATTATTTTTTTGCCAGACACTGTAGTCATTTCAACACAAAACAAATATATAAATAAATAAAAATTATATAATTCATAATTTTAATATTTATAATGTTTCTCTAAGAATAAAAAAAATACTATCATTAAAAAACCCAAAGGCAAAAGGTGTGGTTTAGGAATATAATAGATATATTTATCAAATTGCTTCTGATATGAATTAAGCAGGCTTATATACTTTTCTTCTAAGCTACATTGACTAATTTTTACAATAACAAGTCTTATGGGGATTCATGGGTATATGTTCTTCATCCAATATATATCAAAAAATAAGCTTTGAATGTTCATGTTGAAATATAAAAAATCATGTTTATATCTAACAATTATTTCAAATATACTTCAACGACTCTGATGGGACTCGAACCCACAACCTTTAGATTCGAAGTCTAACGCGATAATCCATTTCGCTACAGAGCCACTACTTCTTGTGTCCGTGCTAGACAGTTCTATATCAAATAGAGTAATACTATTGGCTGCACATGCCTTCCCTTTTTGGAACACACATTATCCTGTGTGAATACACACAGATAATATAATATAATTAATAAGATAAATGCTAATGCAATATATTGTCTTGGCTTAACATGTTCACTGTGAAGAGAATATAAAGACAAGACATGTATATGCAATTGTACACTGTAGAATTTAGTATAAATAATCAAGTGAATTCAATGAATAAACATTATCTTCTATCTTCTCTTTTATTCTTCTTCTTTGATCTACGTGGGCTTCAGTCCAAACCAAGAACCACTAGCTACTCCACTCTGTGCACATACCTCCAGGCTTAGAACTATTCTGTCCAAATTAGGGAACAACAATTGGTAGCTGAAGAAGATGCAAGAAGACCTCCTAAATGCCTTTGGAAAACTAAAGTGACTGAAGATGCCAATGCCAGTCAGGAACAAATGACACTGGTCATACAAGCACTGGCAAAGATACTGGAGAAGGACTCCAAAAGACAACATGTGCCTTTCTGTGTCCATGAACCAGATACTTACCATGGAACAAGAACCCCCAATGTAATTGAAGGATGGTTACAAGCTATTGAAAGATATAGCTCCCTGGTACAAATGTCCAAAGTGAATATGGTAGACTATGCTGCTACTCTGTTATATGGTGATGCCAAAATCTGGTGGCATCAACAAGAAAACTACAGCAATGATGCAGTAGACTGGGATGGTTTCAGAGCCATGATCCATCAAGAATTTGAGACTCCTAACTGCAAGCAAGTTGCAAGAGATTGCCTGGCAGCACTGTGCCAAAGTGCCTCTGTGGCTGAGTATGTGAGCCACTTTTGTAGCATCAGAATTGAGATTCCTACCATGACTGATGAAGAAGCACAAGACCATTTTGTTTGTGGTCTCAAGGACCAAGTGCATTTCCATGTGGTGACTTGTTATCCTGGTTCCTCAGCAGAAGCAGAGCAAATGGCTCTTGCTTATGAAAGTGCCCAGAACATGCACTCTGCCCCCACACCTGCTTATTGTCTTACACTCACCTACCAGGTAGTAATGCCACAAGCACCTGTGTACTCTTCTGGTAGACCCATTCCCATGGACCTAGATGCCATTTGGCCCTTCAAGCCCCAATATCAGCAAAGGAACTCTCAGGGACAGTTTCATACCCAAAACAAGAAACAAGTCCACTGCTACAATTGTTCTGGTTTTGGACACATGAAGAAAGATTGCCCTTCCCCACATGCAAGAGATGCCCAATCTGTTTCTTGTGCTCCCTTCAGGGACAGATATGTTCAGAGACCACAGAACAATAAGTTTTGTAGCAACAACTCATTGCTGAATATGGTAGAAGATGAGAGAGATCTCATCAATCTGGAGCCTGTGGAGCCTACACCTAGAAGAAGGCAGAATAAAAAGTGGGATGAAGACAGGCAGTACATTGAATCTCTCTGTAAAATAAAAGAAACTGATTTACCACTTTACAAAGCTGTCTGTAATGGGAAAGATATTTCAGTGCTACTGGATAGTGGAGCTAACTCTAATTATGTATCACCTGAGTTATCTGATGACCTGCCCTTAACAACAATCTATGACAAACAAGTAGAGACAGCTGGTGGACATGTCCTGGGAATTGACCCCCAAGTGATATTGTCATTGTGTATGGCAGACCTGGAACACAAAGTGGATGCCTATGTGTGATTATTTAAAGAAATAATAATAATAAACCATTCTTCACTTAATAAAAAAATTATCTTTGTTCATGTAAGGATCAGGGTCAAGGCAGGAGAAAGAAGCAGAGGTATTCAGTGTTGTGCTTCAGGAACAGGTAGGAAAGCAAGAAGAGAACAAAGGTAAGAGACAAGAGAAGACAAGGACAGAGTACAGGTAGGAAACAGATATCAGGATATTGTTTTTATTTTACAAATAAGTTAAGTATTTATATTAGAGTGTTCTATACTGCAATCTAATTCTATATTATTTAATAAAACAATCTAATTATTATAACAAAATCCAAGACAAAGATAAGAGTAGGAAAAGAGAGACTTATAATGGCTGAGACAAATGGTAGACAAATGAGTTTGTCTGGGACAAGACCATTGGTGATGCCCAAATTACTTTCATAATTTGCCAAGAACAAACTAGTCATTACAGTTCAGTCTTATAAATCTTACTTGTCTAAACAATATCAAAAATCTACTGATATATTTAATGTTATAATGAATAAAATAGTTCTTTATCATCTATTTGTATCCAATAGGCTTTGTGTCCTGCTCAGTAGTGTTGGACATATTAGATGATATACACTATTTTCACTTATTACTGTTGCACATTTAGAGAAAAATGTGTTGCATTAATAAATTAAAATATGTTGCATTAATTAATTAAAATTTGGCATAGTAAAAGATTTAAAACTGGTGTATTCTAAGTACTTGAGGTTTTCTTACATTTTACTTTTCTTAAAAAATGAATAACATTGTGCACAAAGATGGCCAAAGAAATATCTATAATGATGAAGGCATAGCCATTACAGTAGTGGAGATGGAGGTAGATGAGGAGATGTACCCCATTGAGACAGTTACAAATTTTGGGATGTACCTTGACCTCAAACCACCCAAGAAGCCAGAAAGAAGAACTGTACAACAATCTGTAGACAGAGATGTCAATACAGAAGAGGATAACAGAGCTCCTGGTATCCACAGGCAGTACAAAGATTCCAAAAAAGAGCAGTTGTTTGTATTGATTTATGAAAGGGGTATAAGTGTCAGAGCTGCTGTGCTGAAACTTCAAATCCACCCATGCACTGCTCAGCAATGGTACTCAAACAATCAGCAGAATTCTCAGACATTCATTGCCAGAAAAGAAGGTAGTGGAAGGTCAGTTGGTAGGCCATCACTACTTAACAATAGCCACAAAAGATTTTTGGTTGATTTATTAGATGATCAGCCCTCTTTAGTCCTGGATCAAATGATGAAGAGTTTGAGAACGTCTTTTAATGATTTGGAGATATCAAAAACAGCTCTCTACAATTTTGTTACCAAAAATTGTAAGATCAGTCTAAAAAAAAGCCCATTTTCATTCAGTTGATCATAATAGTCCTGAAAAGATCAAGAATCAAAAGGAGTGGGTACAGAAATGGATAGAGACAGACATGGACTACATGAGCAACTGTGTCTTTATAGATGAGGTGGCATTCCACATCAACATGAAGCATACTTTTGCTTGGTCAAAATTAGGTACTTGTGCAGTAGTAAAAGTACCAAGAACAAGGGCCAAAACAACAACTATTATGGGAGAAACATCTGCTCAAGGCCTTGTCAACATAAAAGTAAGACAGCCTCAAATGTTGCCTGTTTCAAAGAAGAAGAAACTCTGTTATCTAGAATTGCCAATGCATCAAACCAAGTTCTTCTCAGTGACCTCAGAGGGTTTTTCAAATACTCTGTTGATAGATTTAAGGATTGCTTACAAGAGAAGCCTCTTTAAAAATAAAAAATGTTTTTTTTAACTGAAAGAATATGTATTCATAGTCAGAAAAGTAAGACATGACTATGAATACATATTTTGGGCTTCTCCGGGAATCGAACCCGGGACCTCTCGCACCCTAAGCGAGAATTATACCACTAAACCAAGAAGCCACTTTTTTCCAAAATTCGTAAGTTCAATCCAAAAATTCAAAAACGTCCATCCGTCTCCAAAAAGCTGCACCCATCTGCATCCATCTGCATCCATCATCAATCCATCTTCCCCCATCTCCCGACTATCTTCTACAAAAGTTTCAGACCTCCAGCTCTCAAACTTGACCAGATCCACTATGTTCTCTTCTCCAGCAGGACAACAACACCTTTTGGCTAATGCCACCACCACCACCACCAAAGCTCAACTTATCTCGGCAGTGACGTCACTCCAACAGAGCTTTGCTCAAATGGCTTCTGAGCACACCCATCAGAAGCAGAGACTTGAGGCCTTTGAGGCCATTATGGAAGAAAACAAGCAGCTGAGAGAGACTGTGGCAGCCCTTGAGGCAAAGCTTGCTGCCTTGACTAATAAGGCAACTCCTGTGATACAAGAGGTGACACAGGCAACAAAGAACCACCAACAGGCTGAGAAGACAGCCAAGGACTCCACATGGGCTACTGTAGCCAAAAAGACCCGCCCAGCACCTTCAACTAGGAGAGTGGAATCTGCTGCATGTGCCTTCATCATCCAAGAAGGTCCTAAAGGTTACACTTATGTGTACATTCCAAGAGGCAGATGCATGAACCGCCCAGAGGCAAGACGCCTCCTGAGAACCCTTGGCCTGGAAACAGGTAGAATCCTGGATGTGTGTTTCCCTGCCCATTCTGTTCTTGGTCTTTTGGTCCATGTCCAGTATGTTGAGTCTCTTACTGCAGTCTTGAATAAGGCCAAGGTAGATATCTACAAGAACTTTGACCCTCTGGACCCCAAGCATCTGGCAGACCCAAAATATGCCACCTTCAATGTTGAGCAGATGTGCATTGAGGCAGCCAGACTCCAAGAGAACAGATGCATGCAGGCTATCCAGTACATGCGCCCCCACATTGCTTTTTCTGTTGCTGCTGCTTTTGTAGCCAATGGCTAGATCAGTGAAGAGCAGATGCCCCCCAAGCCAACCAACAAGGGATACATTGACAGAGATGACCCAGCAAATGCCTTCCAAGTGAGCAGAAGAAGCTCTGTTGCCATGTCTGAGTCCTCCAACAACAAACACCAATATGAATAGAGTCTCTATAGGCCTATGGAATGCCAATGGACTTCAACAGTCTATGGTATATGACATTATGACACACTCACACTCCTTTACTATGCTCTTTATCACAGAAACCTGGCTCCTCTCTCCCTCCCACCTCCCTACTTCCTGGACACAGTTCCACACCTATGGCAAGCCTGTTGAGAACAGCTACCATGGCTCACTTGGTATCTGTGCTCTTGTTTCTCCCT